TTTCTATCTTCTTAGTTTTTTTTTTTTTGTTTGTTTCTTAAATATACTATGTAACTGAGTCTCTTTATTACCACACTCTTTATTAATATTTGAAAGGAATTGACAGGTAGATAATTTTTTTTTGTTTCTCAACTTTTTTAGGTTTCTTAGTTTGCTGTGGTTTTAATATAATTCTTTCTGGAGTATCTGTTAGAAGCTTTCCTTTTTCTTCGTCTTGTCAAATGTATCTTTCTTGGTGCTGATTTTGGGTAAGGTCGCACAGTTTCTGGAGAAAATGCTTTAGGAGTTTCAGGAATAAGTAACATTGTCTCTTTATTAACATTAACTTTTGACAGATTGACCTGAAGATGATGTTAAACATACTACTTTTGACAGATTGACCTGAAGATGAAGTTAAACACAAGATTTTCTGGTTCTATACGATATGTGACAAATGATGGTAAAAAAACATCATCAGCAAAAATGTTAGCATTGTACGGGTATACACCAGTTTTTTGAAAACCCTTTGTAATGTTAGTACAAGTTGTAGCAAATGGCAATGAATCAGATACAACTTTTGGTATATCATAAATTATTATGGCTTTTCCAGGAGTTTTTCTCAGCCATGCATCGTGTGCAACTGATAGGTACTTTTTAAAAGGTCCAAACATGATACATCTAGTGGCTGGAGCTTATGGCTGCATAACTATTCCATTCTCCTTTGCTAAGTTTAGTAATTCAAAATGCAAGTGAGAAGAGTGATTGTCCAAAATTAACACAATTTTATATTCATTTTAAGGCTTCACATGCCTTATCAAATGCTGCATAAAATTTTTGAATTCAATATCTGTAACCCAGCCACTTCCATTACCTACCCCAATACAGTCCGGTGGACCATTATTAACAAAATAATCTTTGTAATTTTTGCGAGGGAACACAAACATTGGAGGTACTGTATTTCCTGAGGCAGATACAGCGGTTACCATTGTGACACTTGTGCCTTTTTCCCCAGATGTCATTGCACCAACATTTCTCTTGCCCTTTGCAGCCACAATTTTACTAGGTTTTACAACTGTAGATACACTAGTTTCGACAATGTTCCATATTTGTGACGCACTGAATTTGTATATATCCATAACTTCACCTAGCTTATCAAAAAATACTTTTACATTTGCAGCGTTAAATGATGTTGCCCTACCAAGGCTAGTTGCTTCAGGTTTCCTTATAGATAATTGAGGATTTCTTTTTAAAAAACTAGTCATCCACTCTTTACCAGCATCTTATTTACTGTCCAAGAATCTGGTATTTTAATTTTGTATTGAAGTGCACACTCATAAGCAAGAGATCGAACATCTTTAGGAGTAGGGGAGATAGGGGCGCATTGATCGCCGTTGCAGTATTTTGAAAACTGCAAACAACCCGATCTAGATATAAAAATTTATTAATTACTAAACTAAACTAGAACAATCTGTCTTTAAGTAAAAATAAATGTTTTAATAAAAAACATTAATGAACATGGTATATTTCAACATTACAACAACCCTTGCAAAAAATTAATGTACCCCATGCAATGGGGTACAATGATCTCCGACATGGGGCGCTTTGATCTTTTTTTTGTTATAATGTTGTGATTCTACATGATTGGTACAAAGTTATAATGTTTTTAAAATATATAATACTAAAAATATATCACAATTTTATAGAATACAAAAAATATGATTGTAGGGTATCATTAATATTAAAAGAACGCGGGAAACTTGCAGAAGAGCAGATGGTCTTGTCATCAAGAAACCGCTTGTACTTGTAATATTTTTTGTATTTTTGTTTTACAATGTATCAAGTTTCACAAAATACTTCATTTTTTATTAGGTTCACATATAATAAAATGTAGAAATAAAAATTTGGTAAATACTGTTTGTAGTACACATAATACACATAAATATATTATTAAGCATAAATATAATTATTATTGACTTATATTGATTTTTTATATTAATATATATTATTGAAGTTTTTTGGATTTTGTTTTCAATTATAATTTTGGTTTTACTTTCAGTTTTAGTTTAGTGAAAGTTTAAATAATTGCTGATATTTAAAACAAACTTTTTTAGTAAGATTTTCAAACAATTTATGTTATCTAATTTTGTAATAATGGCATATTTTGGATATCAGTTTATTATAAAGATAGGGACCGCGAAACGAAATTGTAAAACGCGACAGTTTTGTTTTTCTGAATGGTACATTAAAGTTTCCTACTTCTCTAGTGTCATATCTATTTTTATTGCTTTTAAAAAATTCATTTAAGAAATGTGGTGGGACAAGCCCGAGTTTAAATTTTAGCATGAAGAGTAAGTTTTGGTAAATGTTAATTCTATAGACGTTTAGTGCATTTAGGAGTTTAAAACAAAGGTTCAGCATGAGTGAGTTTATCTTTTTTATAGACAATTCTAATGGCATGTTTTTGATGTTGATAAAGTGATTTTAAATTAGATTTATGGGTACTGGCCCATGCTATATTACCATATGTATAATAGGTATGTATAAATGAAAAATAAAGATGTTTTAGATTTTCTTGGGATAACATAGCCTAGCTTTGTATAGCACGCCAATGTTTTTGGTTATTTTAGTATTTAAATAGTCAATATGGGCTTTCCATGAAATATTTTGATCAATAAGTAAACCTAGGAATTTAGTTGTTGTGGTTCTTTCGATATTTTTGTTTTTTATTCTTAGCAATGGCAATATATTTGGTAGTTTTTTTCTTTTTTGATTTGGATGGAATAAGATGTAATTAGTTTTTTCTGTGTTTAAAGATAGTTTATTAGTTTTAGCCAATTATTAAGTTTTTCGAGTTCAATATTCGTTGTTTCAAAAAGTTCTGTAATTGACGGGGATGAATAAAATAAATTAGTGTCATCTGCAAAAATTATGACATCAAGTTTGTTTGAGGCTTTCGGAAGATCATTAATGTATATTAAAAACAGTAAGGGAACCTTGGGGAACGCCACATTTGATCTTTAGCATTTTTGAACAGATATTTTCATCAGTATTTAAACATTGTTGTCTGTTTAGCAAAAAGTTTTTAAACCAGAGTAATGCAACATTTTTTACGCCATATTTTTCCATTTTTTTGAGCAGGATTTCATGATCAACAGTATCAAATGCTTTTGATAGATCTATAAAGATTCCTAGAACAAATTCATTATTATCAAATGAGTAGTTGATGCTATTTACAAGATCTATGATTGCATGTTCGGTTGCATGTTGTTTTTGAAATCCAAACTGTTTTTTATTTAAGATGTTGTTGTTTGTTA